CACTAATTAAAAACTGATCTTCCGATCCATTGATTTAGCTATGATTGAGGTGCTTGTGAACACCCTCAGTCACACGTAGAGATGGGCAAGGTAATAAAATACGTAATCATTACTTATTTTTTACCCTCTTACTAACTATTACTAATTATTATGTATTGTTGAGATTGCATAGTGATTATTAATTATTACGTATATATTGTATCACTAATAATGATATATATAATAAATAATAAATGGGATTAATAATTATCAAATACTGATACCATTGTCTTGTATTTTTGCAATGCCAAATTGGCCACCACCAAATCCTGAAATACAACATTTGTTGCGCAAGCTTTCAAATGGATCTGTTGGTCATCCCCTGGGTTCTCTTTGGCAAGCTTTTGACCCAATTAAGACTGATGATAAAAAACCTAAAGCTCACTGCATATTTTGTAACCACAACATGTCTATATCCAGTACTGCAGCAGTGATGATTTCACATATTAAAAAATGTGAGAAAATTCATCCAGATGTCTGAGCTTACCTTATTAATGCTCATAACTGTCAACAAAAGTTAGTTCCAATTATTGAACGTAATCAGCATCAAGATAATTCTTATTCATCAGATGGATCGATTGTACCTTTTATGTCAGTTTCAAATTGTGATTCTGTTTCAACTTTTTCTGATAATAATATGAGTGAAAACAATAATGTTTTTAAAAATACAAGTCAGATACCTACACAATTACCAATAGATGTATGCAGATCTAATCGACTATTATTAGAAGGTATTATAGAAGGCAGAGCACCTCTTTCACTTGTAGATGCATGCAAATTTAAAGAATTTGTTTATTCTATAAATAACTAGTATCATGTTCCTGCAAGAAAACAACTTTTTACAAATATTCTCAATGATGTTTATAAAAATGTTCAAACCTCAATTCAACAATTTATTAATATGTCTAATTGGATTACTATCATGATGGATGGATGGACAAATATTCAACAGGATTATCTTGTGAATTTTATTGCTATTGGAAAGGATCGAAGATCAGAGCTTATTAAAATTAAGGACACATTAGGAGAAAGCCAAACATTAATTACTATATTTAAAGATCTAGAAGAAGTTTTAATGCAAATTGGAATTAAACGAATTAATGCAGTTATTACAGATAGTGCTGCAAGTTATGTTCATATGAAAATTATACTTGTACAACAATATCCTAAAATTATAGTTTTACCATGTATTGCATATGAATCAAATCTTTTGTTTGGTGATATGTTGAAACATATATATATGAAGTCAATTATAAGTTCTGCTGTTAAAATTATTGTATTTTTTTGAAAAAGCACTCAGGCTATTCAAATTATTCGAGCTCGCTCTAGTGATAACATATTTAGATTTACTCTTCCAACTTTTACTCGATAGAATTCTTTTTTCACTTCATTACAACAATTACAAAATAAAAAGCAATACTTAAAAGATATAGCATATGAAATAGAATCCCAATTTGATAAAACTATTATGTCAATACTAAAAAACAATGAATTCTGAAATAATTTAAGAGTTATAATTTATATATTAAAGCCATATTCACTTACTCCTATCACCTTAAAGTCTCAATATGCTACACTAGCTGATGCAGTTCACTTATAGGCTCAAACACAAATAAATACCAATATGATTAATGATAAAGATTTTCAACTTTATGTTAATACACGTATTTAACATAGATGGAATTGGATCTTTATACTCTGCCTCGTTCCGAAGCTGGGTGTCTGACGATAAGACAAAATAGTACTCGAAGTCTACACACAAAATATAAAGGATGATAGTACAGGAGCGTACACCCTTGTCTCAAATAAACGTAGCTTGGAACAAACAAACACGGAAAAAAATCATTATAAAAGAGTTAAAACACACTTAAAAAGACCCGAAGTTAGATCAAAGGAAATTTATAACTACACAAAGACAGAGATACCTCGAGAGAAATCAAGCTTCACAGAAGCAGTCTTCTCAACACACAGTAATTATAACATGAGAACTGAAAGCTGAGCAGAAGCAATAGAATCGGAAAGTACCTTATTCACAAATGATTTAAGCTCGAATACTTCCTCAAGAATACAAGGTCGTGAGGAAAACTCTACGGGCAATAGCTTAGAAAGTTCTAGAAAGATTCTGGAAACTGGATCAAATGATGACATATCTGATAATTAATCAAAAGCCGAAGAGGCGAACTCAACAGCAAAAGAAGTATTAGATAATATAGAAGTCGACTCACAAAAAAGCTAGCTAAACTATGGTCCAGCCTATTCACAAAATTAACAAAAAGGCAGGCCACTTTTTTCACTTTTGCTCCCAGAAGAAACATTCGCATGAGAAACAATAACACCCTGATCATAGATATTCAGAGCCTGCAAGGATATTTAATGAACAAAATCATTAGTGTAATGTATGGAAAATATGGTGCTGATTTATTGCGGCAAAACCCCATTATAGTGGAGGTAAACGTACACATGTTGAAATTATCTTTGTAGATGAACACAAGCTTAAGTACTACACATCGGAAGGGATCACTATGTTCGAACAAACCTTTTATGGTTATATTCCAACAGACCTGAAATGCACTCTGTTTTCAGTCAAATTATGGGATGTTCTAATGGCAAAGAAGGAACTAATCTCTCAGAAAATACAAGAGATACTAGAGGATATAGGAACAATAATTTCAATTAAACTGTTATTATATGAGGGCACTTCGATACTCTCCAATTAATAGGTTGTCACCTTCGATATTACGAACGACCCGAATCTTGCAGAAAGAATGCCCAGGTTCCTTAGAATCTGGGATCAAAAAGTTATTACAGAATAGAAAATGGCCCCAAAATATGCTATTTTTGCGACACAGAAGGGCATATCAAGAAAGATTGCTAACAATATATGGAGGCGATTAAACTTCAAAAACAATTTCGAATATACAAAATTGAAAAGGAGAAAGAGAAGCAAAATAATCAAAACCTAGAAAAGAAAAGAGTAGTGGATCTCGTTGAGGTTGAAAATAACTCGAGAGAAGAATTAACCCTTTCGATACAAGATACGGAAATAGAGAAAGAAACAAAACACAATTCGATGAGGAGATGGAAGAAATTTCAGAGACAGAGGGAATTTCAGAGACAGAAGAAACCCTCGCAGAAATGATGGCAACGGAGAAGAATATGAACACAGCTGGAAGTGATACAAATATGAACTTCACACAAGAAACAGGGGTTCCTACAAATCCGAATTTAGAAACAACTCAAACATCTGATCTCTTAATTGATGCAGTTTTACAAAAGTTACATGTAAGAACAAAAAAAACAAAAATAATAGAAAGATAGATGGGTCTAAAAACTTAGACCTTAAAGCAAACAGAAACAACCCCTACAAGAAAAACAAAACAGGCAGAGGAGAAATCCCCAACGTCCTTCATTAACTGTTAATCTATATGAAAAATCAAAAAATCAAAATTGCAACTTTAAACGTAAAAGGATTCAATAACAAGTATAAGTACCAGAAAACACTTATACTACTCAAAACCTATAAAATCGATATAATTCTGCTACAAGAAACCAACCTAACTAGTATAAAAATGAGAAACTTCTTAAAAGAACAATAGATCTTCGATTCATTTTGGACTTCAAAAATAGCGATCCTTATAGGAAGCAGAGAAATGATTCTTGAAGATGTAAACAAGTCACAAGATGGAAGAGTGATTGTTACGACAATTAAACTCAAACAAAGAATATTTACAATTACGAATGTATATGCCCCTCTGAACATAACGGACAGAATTAGATTCCTAAATAATTAGACCTCACAAATTGATGAGAGTACAATAAACATAATTGCAGGGGACTTTAATATGAACCTCAATCCGAAGGATAATAGGATAAGCCAAACTAATCCCCACAGCGATCTCTTCAGAAAACTTCTAAAATCTCGTTTAAAGAACTTCACAGACATCTCTGACTTCATAGGAGAAAAACCTTTTCTTACCTACTTTCAAAAAGTTAAAAATGGCCATACAATGGCAACAAAACTTGATTATATTTTTATTGACAATAATCATGCACAATTTTGTAAACAAATTAACACTAAATTTGGTAACTCTGATCACTTGCTAGTGGAGTGCGACATAGACTTATCAACTCGCCCTAGTTCACACTCGGCCTATTGGAAATTTAACTCGAGAAGTTTACAATACACTAAAATTAAAGAGGAAATCATAAAAGAACTATCAAATCAGACAGATACTCAGGAATGGGATTTTCAGAAAACATGCATGCAATCAATTATACGATCCTTCAAACCTCTGTTAGCACCAGAAAATCAGATTCAGAGGATTAACAAAAAATTAACAAATTTGAACAGCAGGATAGCTCAGAATTCAAATTATACGGACCTTCATATAGTCGCAGACCAACTTAACTCTCAATTACAAGAAGAACTCGCTACACTTGTAGAGAAATAGCAAGTTAGGTCAAAAGCTCATTAGATCAAGAAAGGCGAGAAGTTGACTAAATATTTTTCTCCCAGTACAAGTCCAAACATACAATTTCAGCAGTGACAAGAATAAGAATTCTACAGAATCCTGAAATTGAAGATCCTGTAAAAATACTTCGCTACATTAGAGATTATTATGAACAATTATATAAAGTAGAGGATTTTGATGAATCAGCGGCACAAGAAATCACAATGAATCTTCTACAGGTATCGCAAAAACAAAATGACGATTTATTGAAAATGATTACACTGGACAAGGTTAAAAATACCATCCAACAACTTCCTAATGGTAAATCTCCTAGTACGGATAGTTTTACTTATGAATTCTACAAAGAGATTATAGATGAAATATGCCCAGTACTACAGAAAGTCTTCAATTCAGTACTTATCTCCGGAGTGATGTCAATCACATGGTCCAAAAATACCATAATATTAATCCCAAAAAAGAACGAGGCTCTAGAAGAAGTATTCAACTGGTGACCAATATCTTTAATTAATTGTGATGCCAAAATATTCATGAAAATAATAGCATCAAGACTGAATAAAATAATAGACTTGATAATCCCCCAACATCAACAAGGCTTCATAAAGGGAAGATTAATAATAAATACCACACTAGATATCATAACCACTCTGCGTAACCAAACAGATCAAACTCGCGATTACTGGATGGTTTTCCTTGATCAGGCTAAAGCCTTTGACAGAGTAAATCATAAGTTCCTATCGCTAGTACTTAAAAGAATGAACTTTGAGCTTGGCTTTATTAGATTAGTTGAAGATCTTTTTATGAAACAAACTGCATACATTACAGATACAGGCCTTCTTTCTGCCCCTTTTCACATAGAAAGAGGAGTAAGACAAGGAGACCCTCTCTCTTCTCTTTTGTACATAATCACATTTGAACCCTTCTTAAAGATTATAGAGGATAAGCTAACAGGCATACACATGGGTGATTGTAACTTTAAAGTAGCAGCATACGCTGATAATCTAACAATAGGGATAGGGTCGACTGCAGATTGGTCTGAACTTCTCTTCTTAATAAGTAAATACGAAGCTGCAGCAAACGCGAAGGTCAATAGAGAAAAATCCATTTTAGTTCCACTCACCAAGAATGCCCGCAGAGTCAAATTACAAAATGAAAGTCAGTACCATAAACTCGAGGAAAATGGAGAAATCAAGATTCTGAGTTATACAATTAATTCTCAAGGTTATCCGCACCAGAGTCTCTGGAACAAGGTATCTGCAAGTCTGAAAAAATTGATAGAAAAATTTTCGAATAGAAACTTATCTTTCAAGAGAAGAATCCTAGTCGCGAACTCATTATTTACCTCTAAATTATGGTATGTGTTATATATACTACCACCAAGCAAGAAGCAGTTAAATCAAATAAATGAGATGATTATCAATTGGGTCAAGAATAAATCCAAGATGCTACCTCGATATTCAATTTTTCAACGACCCGTAGATTTCAATGGCCTTAAAGCCCCTGTTCTTATTGACATGCTAGAATCGAGACTTTCATCTGTATTTCTCAACTTACTAATGGGTAACAACACATGGGCAAAGATAGAACGCAACATAATAGCAAAAAAACTTCGGGAAATTCGTAACATCACCCCACTTATAGCATTGAACAATTAAGCACACAAAACAAAAGCTTGGCTCGACATGTGGAAACCCTACGTTACCGCATAGAAAAAAATAGAAGGAAGAATTATTAATGAACAAAACTCCTGGCCTTGGAACTCAGACGAGATTGAGATTGCGGGGAAAAAGGGAAATGAATTCTCAGTTAAGTTAGCTACAGAATATAGATGTTACAAAACCATGCAAATGAATACAATACAGGTTATACAAAACCAAAGAAGTCATGAAACTCCACAGAGATGGATCAAAACAGTAATAAAAAAATGGATATCTTATGGCGGCTTTCTCATAAAGCACTTCCCTTAGGTTACAAACTACGTCACATATCCGCGAATGAAATGGGTAGCTGCTCCGCGTGCTCTGAAGAACTGCAAACATTAGAACATTTCGCCGTGCATTGTAAAATCAGTCGACTTATTTGGAACAAAGCTTATAAACTTGCTAAATTCCCTAGAAACACCAAACCCCCAGAATCAGTTGAGAAAATTTTAACAGCATCCAACGTATCTGGCCAAATGCAACTCACGGCAATCTGGCTTCACATCAACAGGATATATGAAATTTGGTGTTGGTACACCTAAACGAAGTGGGGCAAGGCACAATTTCATGACTCAACTCTCCCGATTATAGTTAAAAACCGACTCTCAAAAGAGATAAACTCATTATATATAGGAAAAGAAATCAGAGAAAAGCAAAAAATCCTCAAATTTTTAGTCGACCTCAAAACAATACATACTAGCACAAATGACACCGCATAATAGCATCGTTGATTTTATTTTTTTATTTCTTTACTTTTTAGCACTTTTACAACGGAATAATGAGCTATAACTGGACACATGTATTTTTATTTCATTAACATCAATAAGTAATTAATTGCAATTAATAAAATGTACGCCATATGGCGTCCCACGGTGTTTCTGCTGGGGGTTCTAAAAAAAAAAAAAAAAAAAAAAAAACATAGATAGAATTGAATATATAATCCAATTTTGCTTATTTGTTGGTTACTTTATCTAAGATATGTTCTTACAAAAACTATTCATTCAGAACTTACAACTATTATAAAAAAAGAATCAAGTATTTTATTTGAAAGCTTATTTTCTGATAAAGATATTAGAAAATTTCATAAGTAATTAATTAATTAGAATAACAAAGCATATCCTTTTGATTTCGAAGGTAATTGGAATAAATATTTGATTAGTAATCCAATATATTTTTGGAATAATTTACAAAATGAAGTGCCAGAATTATCAATTTTTACTGCTCGCATAATGTCAATACCTCCTACTTCAGCTGAATGTAAATATTTTTGGTCAGTTATATCAAATATCCATTCTTTGTGACATAACAGATTAACCAATAGACGTGCAAGCAAATTAAGTTGTATTCGTTGGCACATGATTCAAGATGAAAATATTAAAAATCATGATGCTAAAAAGTCTCAAGCTATTCAACAATTTAACAATAATGAAAATGAAAACGCTGATAATGAATCATTTGATCTAGAAAATGAAGATGAGTTTTATAATTTAGAACAATTAGAAAATCTGGAAGAAAACATAATGAAAACAATTGAAAATATCGAAGAGTTTAATGCTAATGATGAAATTATTTACAACGAAGCAACTAGTGAATGTAGTACTCAATCTTCATCTCAAGTCAACTTTCAGTCTGAAAATACTTTAGAGAATTGGTTTCTTCTTGAAAAATTTGACAGCATTTTGCTTTAAAAAATTATGATTATTTTTTCCATAGAATTACTACACATATTTAGCAGTAAAATTTTTGCACAATAACAAGCTATAATTTATATACAAAAAGTTAATATATCTTATGCTAGCATATAAATAAAAAATTATAAACTGCTTTCTGTATTTGATTTAATATATATCAATATAGCATATTTGATTTTTAAAATTTACATATTATTACTTATTACGTAAAAAATGATAAGAAATAATTAATAATTATAAATAATAATACATTACTAAACTTGCCCATCTCTAGTCACACGATATGAGATTTTGCAAACATATTAATTTTGTTTTGCGATTATTTTTACTCCGTGATTCCAATCATGATCACTATTATTTGATGTTGATTGTTTAACATTTGAAGCGTCATTTATTGTTGAATTTCGCAAACAACATATATCCAAATGCTCCTGTAATCTTTGTTGCATTTTTTGCCGTTTCCCACTGTGAAGAAGAGACTAAGGAAGGGAAACCGTGACAAGTAACGTGATTGACTGGTCACGTTCCTTCTGGAACACAAACTAGTGGGACAAGTCGCATACGTCGCATTCGTTGCATATGTCGCATGCGATGCATGCGACACATATAACGAATGCGACCTATGCGAAATATATGGGATATAGGGGATATGTTTAATAAATGTAATATGTAACTTTAAGAAAAATATATTATAAATAAAGGCTGGAATGGCCCTTGGGAGAATTAAGTCTCGCCTTTGCTTCATTAAAAAATAATAAAGTCCCCATTTTATTAAATAAATCGCTCACATTAATACAATAATACTACTACCCTAAGTCCTTCAATAAATACAACTTATACTCGTTGTTCGTTTAACCTCTTATCCACGTGACCCAATAACATTGCATCGCTAACACACTCCTTAAGTGCTAAATTATAAATCGTTATTCGTTGTACCTCTTGCTCACGTGACCGAACCTTTCCGGACATTTGGAACCTAAGTAACCCGAAGTCTTAACATCCCTCAGCCTAATCTAACGCACCTCTTTCGAAAGGGTACTTACCTTTGGTTACGCGAGTTTTTGGTATTGTTGAGCGACCGAGTCGCAGTCATTTTCCCTGCTCACACCACATTTTAACTTTCTTTTTTTTTTTTTAACCATTTTTAATACAGTAGTATGTTATAAAATTTTTAGGTTCGATTTTATTTTATTTTATATTTTAAAAACTATACTTTATATGACAAAAATAATTAAGCGAACGAATAATTACGTATTTGACATCATGTGATCAAAATTACGACAAATTCAGTAATTAGCGAACGAAAAATTTAATAAACTTTACATATCATGTGATTAAAATTAATTTACCGAATACGAAAAATTACACAAAATTACGTATAATTATAGCACCCTAGCGTTACCAACCTAAAAAAATTTCGCTACTGGCATTAGGGTTAGGGTTTGGGTTTATTTTGTTTTGACTTTATGTTACACCTGATCTTGAATTTTAATTCGACCAGATAGCGAAATTTTTTAGATTGGTAACGCTAGGGCGGTTTAAAATTAAACAACCCTAATTACAGTACAGTACGTATTAAATGTTGCGCTTCACAAAAAGGTGTGATCTTGCAGATCATGATGTCATGTCAAAATCACGGGAAATCAGGTTACTTTCCGATTTTCAGAGATTTTAGAAAAATAATACGATTAATAGACACCTTTTTGCAGTGCTATAAATATTTTTATTACTAGAAATCATTTTATAATTAATCGGGTAACCGAGTGGTAACCAAACAAATTTACATGTAAAATATTGAATTGTTTTTTTTTTTTTAATGCAATAAATTAAATAAATTAGTAATCTTAAATATTGGAGTTATCAAATAATTGTTACAATTATGTTAATATTACACTGCTTTAGCACTATCATTTTTCTATAATATAAAACGTTAATTTAATTTTTACGTGCTAAAGCATTAGGCCAGACTAAGGCTGTTAATTGGTCCGACTCAAACTGATGGTCCTTCGGTTTGTCAAATGACCAGGCCAGTCCAGTCTTTTATAGGACGAACTGAAATGACCGTCGGTAAGTCACGAAAAGTTGATGATATATTATCCGATACAGGGACTAGAGTTAATACTTCACTATGTTTTTATATCCGGATTTATTTTATATCCGGATGTATCCGGATATAATTACTATAAGTTTTTAACAAAATGTCAATCCGGATATATTTATATCCGAATTGAAGTATTAACTCTAACAGGGACATGCGAAATCTGTGATATAATTTAATCAATTCTGTTTTTGATAACAATAAATTATGTGATTTACTGTGATTAACTGATGATTAAAATTAAAGTACCGATTTAATAACATAATATCTAAAATTTTATCTCGTAAAAACAAAAAACTTGCAATTTTTTAAAAGTGAGTTGCACTAAATTTTTTTTTTTCGAGAAATGTAAAATTTTTTTGAACTAAATTTTTTTTTCGAGAAATGTAAAATTTTTTTGAACTAACGCTATTAAAATGTAAGATTTTATTATATTTTTACATCACTAAACGAAAAATTACAATAATTTTATTAAATTTGACCATATTATTATTGATATATAGTGAGCAGTTTTTCCAAATATCCCGCGCGGGATGCGGCTTGCGCGCGTGATGCGCGGGATAGAGATTACTTTAAAATTTTGTTAATGCGGGCCGGCTGGCCTGAATTAGAGAAATATTAAAAATCACGCGCGGGATCCAAAAAATCCCGCGCATGCCCATCACTATCGATATAGCTACTAATACTACATTTTTCAATCGAAACAAATCACATGTTTTCTGTGATTTACTGTGATTTACTTCGATCACAGCAAATCACAAAATTCGCATGTCCCAGGTTGATTATCTAGTAAACAAGCGATCTGATTGGTTGGCTTATCAAATATTTGGGCCTTTTTTGTTATGTTTTTTTATAGTTAAGTTAGGGTTTAGGGTTAGAATTATTAGGAAAAGAGTATAGGTGGATTTTGGTAGGGCTTAAAAGTTTAAATTGAGACCCCTAAATTTCACAATGATCTTATTTCATTATGATCTGCAACAATCAAGAAAAAGAATAGTAAAACATCTATCCTAGAACACTAAAACTCAGACCAAGTCTTTCCACGTCTTGATCGGTGCCTTATAATTAGAATTATAGTTGGATGTGTTATTTGCGTTCCATCTCGAACCCTTGTATTACATAATTTATGACGAGTTAGCGTAAATATACGCACTCTATAGAATTGCTAGCTAGTGATATGCTGCGTATATAGTACTGTACGCAAAATTTTGAATAGAATATTCTATTTTGCTTATTAAACTGCCTTTTGTGTTATAATTAAAATTGTTCTCTGTATATTTTGTATAGTTTATTTTATTTATGTTAGGCTTATTGTAATGTCATACACATTATATAACCATATGTTACTGTACGTGAAAAAAATTCAGCTATCATATAAATGCACATCACTAGCTATAATGCATTATAATGCATCTAGAATCCATACAGAGAAGCAATGAGAATAATTGCACTACGCATACAATTGTGCTGTGCGTGCTGCTCAAGTTTTTTTCTGCTTTCGAATATATGATGTTTATATAATAGTTAGCATGTAATTACTTAACAATAATATTAAATTTTTATTATACTTATTTTATTTAGCGCAAAAAAAAATTTTTTAACTGCCATAAATTTTATTTGTTCGTTTACTTTTTTTGGAAAATTTGTATGATACATTCATTTTCATTCATAGCTAGCTAAACATATCAAAAAAAAAAAAGCTAGTCAACAAAGAAAAATCAATAATAAACAATATCGATAGCGATAGATGAATTAAAAATCAGGCGGCTCATTATAAGACATTGGTTATCTAATCCATGCCACTCTAGTTGTGTGTATTATGCAATAATTAGGACACCTAAATCAATAGATCAATTTTAATTATCATAATAGAAAGTCCTTCATCACAATGAAAAAAAGATGTTCGCATTGATTGGATAAAATTTAATATCTACAAGTTGCACCATGAATCTTCAGCAAAATTATTATAAGGATTATTTCAATTGATTATGTTTGTGCACAATCTCGATCACTATCCAATCACATTGAGGGAGTTGCTTGCTTAATTATTACTGCGAGTCATAGACTTATTAGCCACACTTATTGATGTGACAAAATTTTTGCTGTTTCACTACTCACAAAAATATGAGAAATTTACTTCAGCACAGCTGTAATAAAATAATTTTTTGGTTTCATCTAATGATACTGTATTAGGCTGGCCCACTTAAAAGAAAGTCAAAAGAATATCTTCGAGTACAAAATAAGTTATTTATTAATTATTTTTATAAGTGTTTAATGCTAGTAAGCATTAATGGATATAAGGCTCCGCAGCTGCACTGCGGTGCAAGGACCTCTCATTTACTGCTCAACGGCTGCATAATTTAATTATGACTCAACGACTGAAAGCAGTTCAATTATCACTAAATTGACGATTAGTTTAATTGTATAATTCAATGAGAATTAAATAATTAAGGGGAGGGTCAGAAAACACGTTTTTTATTTTGACAAAATTAACATCCTCCCCCTAGGTTTCTTGCCTTCGCTATTTATATGCATATCAAAATTGGGTGAAATTAATTTCGGACTTATAGGGCGAAACTCAAAAATAATTTTACCCGAAACACTAATATACATATAGACATTTCTTTTTAAAAAGACCCTAAAAAAAACACATGTTTTCTGGCCCTCCACTAAGGCTCCACAGTTGCATTGTAATGTCTAACTCAATTACCACTTGATTAATGATTTGTTTTTGTTTTAAGATATTATAATGCAAAAATGAAGGGCTGCTATGTGAGGTGAACCTCTTATCATATGTTTATTTCTTCGTAATAATTGACCGAGAAATAATAATTAAATTTTACTTTATCTGAGAAAATATTTGGCTATAATATGCTACTATGAGATTCATAACAGTTAATCATTAATTCGGACTAAGCAAATTTCGTATAATTAAGAATAGGTTAGAATACGAATGAGCGATTTGATAAATTTTGCCCAAAATCACTCAAAGTTTTACTAATAAAAAGCATTGTAACTCAACCTCTTGAAAGTCATTTTACCGACAGGTCATTTCACTGACATATTAGCCCGATTTAGGGTTAGAATTAGGTTAGTGCTGGCCAATTTTTTATTTTCTGTGAAATGGCTGTCGGTTAAATGAGACATAACCATAAAAAGTACCTAATATAGCTCAATTATTAAGTAAACTTGCTCGGATGTTGATTTCATTATATCATACATTCGTTGGTGTTATTGCTTAATGTTGTTCGGATTTCAATTCGGAAGTTTGATCGATTTAATTAATTTTTGTAAACCCTCTCTAATCTACTCTTATATTTATTCAATATTGAAAAAGAATATCCATTTAATGAATTATTTAAATAAGCTATTCACCTTTGTGATATTTACTGTTATGAATTATTTCATTTTTATTATTATTATTATTATTATTATTATTATTAATTAGATGCATATAAAGGTCATTGCACACTTGAGTTTATAATAAAGATTAGAACTGTTTAACTACATAAAAAATTCATAGTGATAACCCTAGTACATAATAAAATAAAAATACTTTAACGAACGAAAACGTTGATTATTTCTAAATTTGCCTTAGGTCACTGGATCATTTACTTGTAAATTTCATTTATATTTTATATAAAAAATAGAGATGGGCATGCGCGGGATCCGCGCGGGATCCGTGCGGGATTACGCGCGGATCACGCGCGCAAAATGCGCGTGATTTTTTGGATCCCGCGCGTGATTTTCAATATGTTCCCTAATTCAGGCCAGCCGGTGGTTTACATTACATATTTGTTTTGAAAGAGAGAGTGTAGGTGTGTGGGAGGATTTTGAGGGGTTTACATAGTAAAATTTTCAAATTTTTTTTCTGAAATAGCCTGTTTCCTTATGCTTTTTTTTTTTTTTTTTTTACTATGAGGAAGAGGGGGAGGAGGTAATGTTAACTACCGAATCAATTGGTCTGGCCTTAGTAACTTAAGACTACTTGCAATACTACTAAAATTTTGTAAAAACTTTATTATTATTATAAAGTTACTAGATATTAGCAATACGCCTACTACTAAATTTTACAAGTTTTAGTAATGTTCAACTTTCGCTTTTAGAGTTTCTTTTACTATTTATCTTTGATATGAATTGAAAACTCGTTTTATATAATCATCCGCGTTTAAAACTCTTAGCCATTCTTCCCGACTGTCCGTGTCATATTCTTGATGATTGATTTCTTGAGAGGCGTGGTTGTTTTGATATAAGTTAGGATCAAGAATAAAATTGTTATTATTTTCTAGTCGCTGAGCACTAAATTGATGTCCAGGTAGAAATGGTAGAGGTAATGCGTAACTCTGTATGGCATTAAAGTTTACGGAAGATGGTATAGTTGTTTCATTAAAGCCAATTTCAGAATCGTTAAAAATGACCTGTTCTAAAAGTCTACTGTCCGTCTTTGGCCCACGTTTTTTCGATTCAATAAATGTACACTCAATTTTATATAATGTACAACGTTCGCAAGTAGCTTTTCCTGAACATTTTACATGTCTTTGTTGACAATTTGTGCATGCCTTTTTTGTGTAAGGGCCTCGTGGTCGTAATCGTTGTTGCTTTTGTAGCTTTTGTCGTTGATACATGATTGTATATGAAGCAAGTTAAAATATTATAATGCGATTGTCAACCTTTGTTTTAATTTAAGGAATAAACGAGAATAATTTTTTTAAGAAATTATTTCATACAAAAGAGATTTAAAAATGACCTATATTATGAATTTGATAAAAAAAAAAAACTATATAAATTTTATCATTTATAGTATAACTAAATGAGTCAAATATTTTTCTTCTCGTTTTATTATGTTGTGTGTGAAATTAATCAGCGTGAGTTTAAAATACAGTCAACTATCTATAAGTGCACATTCTCTAAGTGCAACTCTAATAAAATATTCTTTAAATGCAAGAATAATTTTGGTCCCAAGTATATAAAGCAATGTGAATTTTATCTCCTCTAAATGCAATATCTCTCTAAGTGAAAGGATTTTTTTTTTTTTAATAGTAAATTTTTCTTAGGCCCAGAGAATTGCATTTAGAGAGAGTCCTCTGTATTTATAATCCCGCCAAAACCCTAACATAGTTAAACTCAAGTTTTAAGATTCACAACAGTAACTTGCATATTTTTTTCCGTGATTAGATAATGCTGACATAACCAGAAAAGAATCACGGTAAAGGTATATTCTTATTATTATTATGACGTTATGCAGCACATTATTTTAACAATTGTAATACTTGCATATTTTTTTCCGTGTTATTAGGTAATACATAACATAACCAGAAAAGAAAGGCAATATTTTATGTTAAAAATAGTCAACTTTAAATTGATAATCATATATATATATTTTTACAAGTTTGATATGTAGACGTACTGTATAAAGTTATTATGTACAGCAGTAATTATTACTGAAAAAAATCAAAATTTTCCGGAAAAGTTACTTGTGGACGTTGTTCGCTACATAATCTTGAGTGTGTTTTCAATGATTCAGGTAAAAGACGAGGACCAAGGCCAGACAGCAGACTCGTAGAGCAGAATTATGTTAATAACGGTCCTGAACTTAATTTTTAATGAAGCAGATATGCTATCCTCCGTAATTCCTAATATCACTCAGGGTTACTCATTAACTCTATTATCTCCATCTGAATATCAACATCAACAAAATAATATTCTTACTCATTTTAACACCTGTGAAAAACTTCAAAGCACCCACGCTTTTCAAGAAACTTTTTTTCTCTATCACATTTACGATTCTCAAGAATTCCTTTTTCTTTATCAATCACGTACTAATACTGGCCACGTTATACAAACCAATAATTTTACAGTTACAGATTATACATCAATAAATAACCAAAATTTATTCTCTGATTATATTATCTATTCTTTTTAAGAATTACTCTTCATCTTCTTTATATTTTTTTTTATATTTTTATTCTTATTTTATTTCTTAAGTAAATAAATAAATGTAGACTAATATACATTTAGTCTTTATTGCACAAATAAATCTAAATTTAAAGCTTAAGTTAGTTTCAAAATTAACTTATTTTAATAATAAGTAGGAGTTTAAAAAATCTTATTTGTATTTTTAAATTTCAAAATCAGAAAATAAAATAAAAGTGTTGGGAAGATTTATCAATTACAAATAAACATACACTTAAAATAAATATACTTTGCAAGTCGCTTATTTTGAAATAAATACGTCTTATTTCATCCGAAATCAGACGCCAAATCACTAATTTTGAAACCCCCATTATCTTTGTTTGCAAAAAAATATGGCATCATAGTTTTTGTGATTATTAGAGTTTAATAGAGAATCTACGTAATAAATTGCAATCAATATTTGCCTCTATAGCGATAAATTTACTTGTATATTTTTTTTTATCTATTTCTCTTGATATTTGATATATAATGACTAATGTTAGACTCATTACCATATGCCAGGAGGCATGCTAACAAGAAAAATTTTCGAAGAAAAAAAGGTAAATTATGAATTTCTGAGTAATGTAGGCCAGCACTATAGAGAATCAAGGAGATCTACAGTAAGTAACACCATTTTGCAAGCGCATAAAAATTTTCTAAATTTTTCAGTTTCGAAAATATACAATTGACTCTGGATACTAAAAATGGGGGACGTCTAAAGCGGGGGCAACTCATATTTCTTAATAATTTTCTCGATTAACTTTAGGGTTAGGGTCATCTTTTATTAGGGTTAAGTTAAGATTTAGGTAGTTATATATAAGCAAAATTGCCTTCCTGACATTTTTACTTAACCTACCTGAGGTAGATTTAGACTGCCGTTCTTTAGGTTTTTCGTTTTTGTTTCTTGCTTTGCTTCGCCGGCGATCATCAAAATTCTATAATTTGATTGGCCGTGGTCACGTGAATTTGTCCCCGCTTTAGACGACCCCTAAAAATGGCAAGTGTAGATCATTCCTTTACCAGGAACGGAGTACAAAGTACGTAGTGGTTTACAGGCAAGTTAATGTGTCTGTACAATTCTCAGCATTTGATTGGTCCGCGTGACTCTGTTCGTCACATATCGTTATGCGTTGTCTATTTTTCACACGCCATTTTTCACACTTTATGTGATAACTTGACAATTGCCTTATTGAGTTAGAATTACTATATATGTTATGTCGTTCCATAAGGTGTATGCTGATCATTTGAGAATATTAATTATTTTGTTCTAACCGAATATATATGTATATCTCGTGCTGAATTTCTAGTGGTAAAGCTAGTGTGCGCTATGCAGAATTCAAAAAACTCAGCCAAAATGAATATTATTAATTAATAAATCAAATATATCCTACTCAGGGCACAAAATTTCCGAATGCCGGAAGCTGCTTTTTCTCCGGCAGTGTTTATTTTAACCGGACTTAGAAAACTCAGCCGGATGTAGCAGTTTTTTAATAATGATATTGTAATATTTATTAATATTTATATACATACGTATATATGATATCATATTCGGCAATTTTCCGACTGATGAAAAGAAATTGTCACGTGTAAACGGAAATCAATCTCCGAAATTTTACAATAGGATTTGTGCCCTGATCCTACTTATATTGTGAACTTTGCCAGGTAAATATTCAAAAATGTGTAAATCTTCGAATTATTTTTTATTTATATTGATATTTAAACGTTGATTCCGGGATGTAACAGTAAAAAAAGCAAACTATTAAATTCAACAATTGATATATTATGCGATTAAAATGGTAATGCATAAGTTGATTAATAAAATTATTAAATTGGAATATTTTTTAGTAATAATAATTTTGTCACGTAAAAGGAATTTAAAGAGATTAAGCATAGATGGTAATTTAAAATAGTCAACGTAAATATTGAGCATTATAAATTTACTTACCCGAAAAGAGAAAACATATGCTGGTAATATCGTACGATCCTTTAAATTATATGAAAATTTATAAAAATAGACAATATGGTCAATTGTTTTTATATTATAAATTTTATTACAAAATCGTGCTATTTTAATCTCGTAAAAGAAGCTTAAAATTTAAAATAGCCTCTCAATTCCATTTTTGCATTTATAAAGAATATTTTTCTTAGTTCTTTATACAGTTTTAGCATTAATCTTATTAATATTAAAAATAAATTACAATCGTCCTTTTTCTATAATATATTGTCAACTCTAAATCAAAGAATTGCAATCATCCTTTTTCTATAATAGATTGTCAATTCTAAATCAAAGAATTACAATGGTTAAATCATGTGCATGTCTGAAGTGTGCTTACTAAAAATACCCTTATAAAGATCTTTTTATAGTATCTAGCACTGTATTCATTACTTCCCGTTCCTGGTTTCGTGCAACTGCGTTGCGCAGCTACTTATTGTAGGATTACAAAGATGAGTATAAAAATAACCAGACAAAATTGTATAGCGTTAAATATTGTAAATCATTTTTTTAGCCAAAAAAATTGAACTTGCACTATGCTAGCACACTTTCTACTAATTCTACACTTTAACACCTTTCAAGACTGTTAATTTTACTTTCAAAAAAGGGCATGATTGTCTAGACTCCTGTCAGCTACGTATATACATTCATGTGTCTAGACTCCTGTCAGATACTTACATACATTCAAATTAAATACAGAATAAACGTTCCAAATTCGAAAACTAAATATGCAATGCGGAATAATTGGGATATTCTATAGAATAGGTGTGCAATATAAGGAATAAGTTTCGCTAATGATTAGTAATCATTGATTTTTTAATATATTCAGCGGAGTTTGCCCACCTTTTCTATAGAGCATCCTTAAAATTATATAGAACATCCTTAAAGTCTTATGGTATTTTAGCTAATAAATTACTTATCACACATTACAATGACACAATCAATGATTTCATTAAATAATATAACAATTTATTTATTAATTTGTAATATATTTTACATAATTCAGATTATTGGTTCAAGATTCAGAGTACAGTACTTTTTTTTTTTTTTTTAATTCCTGATGCAGACATCTAGAGGCGCGTGTGGCGCTCTTTTTATTTCTACTACAATTTGTAAGGTTCTTACATAAGACTTAAGTCTATAATATTACATTATATCCCGGGTTACTAATCCCGAGGTGTACGACCCTAATGGTCTTCAATTTCCCAACTCATATGACTTACAGCTGCAGTATCACTTTTATTAATATCTGATTTCGGTTATATTCTTTATGCGAGGATTCTGATTTTTGCGCCTTTTCTGGCAGAATTTTCTTGGTCCGGTGGTGTGACATCCGTGGTTAAGCCACACTTCCGTACATATTAAATGGGTGATGCTTACACCATTTTTTAGAAACTTTTATTATGATAATTTAGTTTTAATTATTTACGATAAAGCTTAACAATAAGTTTTCACTAGATCAAAAGTACGGAATGCCGAGGGTGTTAAAGTATGTAGGGATGACAAATTTTTTAAAACACAATTTAAAACTTATGATTCTTTGGTTTTAATTGTTTAAAAATGGGTTTAATATGTTTTTAATATACTATGACTTAATGAAATTATGCAATTCGATTTATCATTAGTTATCATATCTAAGAATACAAATAACAATTATTCAGCTTCAGCTAAATTTTAGCA